CAGATTTGAAGGACATTACTAAAGCCTATAGAAAAGCTGCTGAGTGTCTTGGGGAAAATGCTTGTTTTCTAAAGAAGGGTAGGTGCAGAGAACAGAAGTTGAAAAGAGAGAGGCTCCATCAACCTGGTCTTTCATACTATATACCTTGGTGTGTGTGTGTGTGTGTGTGTGTATATATATATATATATATATATATATATATATATATATAGAGAGAGAGAGAGAGAGAGAGAGAGAGGATTGCAAAATGTTTAACGATTCTCTATTATCGAGGACACAAGGAAATTATTTACTTCTAACAGGACAAAATGCAGTGTAAGCAATTATGATATTAGTCACACAAAGATAACAAGAAATACCAATTTCTGGATTAAAGAATGTGTGTGGATCCACTTGTTTCTGCCCATCTTCAGGGAAACATCACATTGGCTGCAATTACAAATGAAGAAAACTTGCTGAGGTATAAATATTTAGACAGTGGTAAATCCGCCGTGGTGTTTAATTAAAAGAAGAGACCAGAATAAATCATTGGTTGCATATATTCCACTGATAGAATTCTTATTAGGCCAAGTGATGAATGCCTAATTTAAAATTATAACAATAATAAGTATTTAGCATGATTATTATATACTAAATGCCTTTATAACTTCACAAGAATTGAACTATAATTATACCCATTTTACAGATGAAGAAAGGGAAGTTTGGAGTATCTTTTGACACAGTCAGGACAGAAGCCAGAGTCTATGATGTTCTTACCCATTTGTTTACTGCCTCAGTCAGCCAGAGCTTTCTAAGGCATGTTAAATAACTTATGTCAAGATCTAAAAAACTCGGACTGGATAATGAATCAGTTTATAATTTTATTAAAAATGCATTAGAACATGTTAAATTTGTGTTCTTGTTCCTACACATTGAAGAAAAATTGCAAGGGAAAAAATTTTTAATTCTCCAATATTTTTAATTAATCCAAAAACTCAATTTACATCAGGATGCATTTTGCTTTTAATTTTTACATGAACTCAAGTAGTTTGGTTTCTAAAGAGTCAGTATTTTTAGGGCAGGTTCTACCCTAGCGGTATCAACTAATGATTCATAACTTCGCAGTCATGAGAGGCACCTTGCAAATCCATGGGATAAGCACCTGCCTCTTACCAAAATCTCACCTATCAACCACCCCCAACATATCATCATGATAATTTCCTTCCCAGTGTTTAAAAAATAAGATTTTTCTTCCTTACTGTTATTATTATTATTATTTTTATCATTGGTGCTGGTGATTGAACCAAGGACCACTGAGCCTCACTCCCAACCCATCTATATATTTTTTAATAATTTTATTGAGACAGAATTTTCATAGTGTACAATTTATCTTTTTGAAATGTACAATTTGATGGTGTTTAGTATATTCACAGATATGTGAAACTCACAATTTTAGAACATTTTCATAACCTCAAAAAGAAACCCCAGGCTCTTTAGCTATGCTCCCAAATCCACCCCTGGAAACCACGAATCTACCTTTTGTCTTTATAGACTTGTCTGTTATGGGCATTTCATACAAAGAGAATCTTAAAATACATGGCCTTTGTGATTAGCTTCTTCCACTTAGCATTATGTTTTTAAGCTTCATCCATGTTGTAGCATCTGTCAGTAATTCATTTTTTTATGACTGCAAAATATTCCACTGTATGAATCAATCTGTCCATCATTTGATGGACATTTGCATTGCATTATTAATAATTAATAATACTGCTAATAAACATTCACATACAATTTTGGAGGTATATAATTAGGAGTAGAATTGCTGGGTCATGAGGCTACTCCTTATTTAGCTGAAGAACTGTCAAATTGATTTCCAAAGTGGCTGCATCATTTTAAATTCCCACTAACTTTACATGTCCTTGACAACATTTATTATTTGCATTTTTAATTTTAGCTATCTTAAGTGTCATGAAGTAGTATCTTACTATGGTTTTGATTTGCATTTTTCTTATGATTAATAATGTTAAACACATTCTCATGTGCTTATTGCTATTGTATAACTTGCTTGGAGAAATGTCTATTCAGATCTTTTTTCCTATTTTTTATATTGGGCTATATATTTTTTTATTATTGAGTTGTAAGAGTTCACATGTACTCTGGACATAAGTCTCTGTGACAGTCAGCTTTCCATTGCTGTAACAGAATACCTGAGGAGGAAAAAAAACTTAAAAGGAGGAAAGATTAACTTTGACTCATGGCTTCAGAGGTATCAGTTGGTAGGTTTTAGCTTCATTGTTCTGGGGGCCTGTGATGAGGAGAACATCATGGTGACAGAGAAAACTGTTCACTTCAAGATGGCCAGGAAGCAAAGAAGGAGAGGGAGGGGCCAAAGTCCCAATATACCCTTCAAGGTCATGACCCCCAATGACCTAACTTCCTCCTACCAGGTCCTATCTCCTAAAGATTTCACTACCTTCTAATAGCACCATCAACTACTGACCAAATGTTCAACACATAAGCCTCTGAAGAACATTTACTATACCAACCTTAATAGTTTCCTACCAGATATATGATTTTTCAAGTATTTCCTCCTATTCTATGGTAGGTCTTTTCAGTTTCTTGATAGCATCCTTTGAAGCACAAAAATTTTTAGTTTGATGAAGTCTAATTTATCTAATTTTTTTTGGCTTGTATTATACCAATAGCAAACTATTATAAAGTTGTGTGTTATTTACTATTTAGGATAAAATGTAGATGATAAATATAAGACTAATTTCCTAATCTGATGTTACATTTTGAATATCAAAATCTCAAAGTAAAATAAATTATACAAGTTTTGAACTGGAAGAAATATTAAATATAGGCCAATCTATTTTTATTATACAGATTAAAAATCAAACCTTCACTCTTTTCATGATAAAGATGTCACCTTTGCCAAACTGTGACCTAAAAACCATTTGTTCCATTAGACTTATTTGCAGAGTAGAAATAATTCAAGTGTTTTGACAGCCTGCATGGCTCTCTGAAGGAAACTGGTAATTATCAGTGTGGATAGAGCTTATCAACCTCTCTTTTGTAATCAAGACTCATCATGCTGTGGGTGTGTCTGCAACTATTCAGATTATAAAATTTTGTATTTGTTTTCTGGAAACGTGGCTTCATGTAGACCCAACAGAATATCTTAATAGTGAAGGTCATTTTAAAGTAGAAACATTTATGACAATACTATCTTATTTTGCGACAAAACATTTAAAAAAAATGTACTAATAGGAATCATGGTGCAAGCCAGGCATAGTGGAACACGCCTGTAGTCCCAGCAGCTCAGGAGGCGGAGGCAGGAGAATCACAAGTTCAAGGCCAACCTCAGCAAAAGTGAGGCACTTAAGCAACTCAGTGAGACCCTGTCTCTAAATAAATACAAAATAGGGCTGGGGTTGTGGCTCAGTGGTCAAGTGCCCCTGAGTTCAAATCCTGGTACCCCAAAAAGAAGAAAAAAAAAAGAAAGAAAAAGAAAAGAAATCATGGAAAATCTATTTGGAAATATTTTCTGGTTCTGTATTCCATGTATATCTAAAGTTTTCATCATTCTTATTAAATGGGTTTGTGTTCTGTGTTGCAGTAAGATGATCATGGTGGAGAGCTGGGTGCAGGCATCAGCTAACTCTTCAAGGCTCACTTGAGGCCTGTACCTTGGTGGTGGTCTCCATATGGAGGCCTCCATCCCTGTTCCAGCTGGAGGGATTGGTGCCAGCAACCTTAAGCCTTCTGGGATGGGAACATGTGCTTTCTAAAGAAAGCTCTATAGGTTTAGGGAGAGCAGGAGTAAAATCTCAAACTTAGATTTTTTGTTTTTCCTTTCCCAATGGGAGCCACAGGAGGGAGAAAGACTTATGCAATCATACAAAGGGCTTCACTAGTGATTCTCAAAACCATATTCTTTTAAAAGAATCACATTTTGGGCTATCCGTTGGGCCTCTCTATATATTGTTCTATACACATGTCCTTCAAATTTTTAGTACAAATTTCTAGGCAATTCAAATCTGGTAAAAACTGGTTGTCAGAAGCATTTTTGGGGTGGTGGGGTCAGGGTAGGACATGGGAATGGAATATGAAGTTGAAAGTGTCATCAATATGGAATAGTGCGGTGTAAGCACAAAGCCGGGCAGTCAGAGCTATCCAACATGTGTTCAAGAAAGGTAGGGGAGGCAGCCAGCACCTTGTCAGGGGTTCTTCTTCCTGCTCAGGAGGGTATAAGCCACCTAAGAAATTAAAGTCTAGAATAATTAGTAAAGAACAAAAGCCAAAGTCAGAAAGATAGTTTCAAAAAGGTGGAGCCCTGATAGGTCTAGTTCACACAGGAACTGGAGTTAGACAATGGCTTCTGTGGTTTATTTAAGGGGGTACATCAAAGGCAGGGGTAAGGTTTCAGGGGTGGAGTCTTGCTTCATGATGTCTTGCAGTCAGCAGGTCAGCCGGCATCTTGGCAGGTCACACCCATCTCAGAGGTCCTGTGTGGCTACATCAGGTCACCCCATCTCCAGTGCTGTGTGAGACCTTTGGCAGAGCTGAGGGGGAAGTTCACCTGCATCAGGCAGTCTATCCCTGTGGGGGTGCCACAGAAAGTTCCCAATGCCAGACCTACCCACTCACTGGCTGCAATGCCAATATAGTAGTCCACATACAGCCCATGGATGGCTCTGGACATTTTCATTCCTTCTTTGTCGTTTCTAAATCCAGAGATTTACCCATCTTCTGAATTCCCACTGGCTTCTATTTTGTATTCTGTCTTGACTTGTACTATGGTAATTGAGTGATTCTTCTCCCCTACTCCTTCAGGACAAGGATCCTCTCTGGTGACTCTGGGCACCAGAATGAATGAAGAAGATATCTCCAAATAATTGGGAGGGGGTTGTGTAAACTTTTAAAGACATCTATGTCTTGTAGTCAGCAGGTCAATTGGCATCTTGGCAGGTCACACCCATCTCAGAGGTCCTGTGTGGCTATAGCAGGTCACCCCATCTTGTTAGGGGTTCTTCTTCCTGCTCAGGAGGGTGTAAGCCACCTAAGAAATTAAAGTCTAGAATAATTAGTAAAGAACAAAAGCCGAAGTCAGTTCTATTGGCCCATTTTATATAACAGACTACCTCCCAAGAGTGGAGGATATCAGCTAATGGAATTGCATGTGCTTTTGCGCCCAGCAGGGTGGCAGTACATAAAAGGGGGCAGGTCAATGACTGTCACTTCCATGACCAGGATGCTGTTACTGCTCCCTGCAGCTTGACGCTCTTTTCTAGAGAAATAAACTTTAGTCTACTTGCTAAAGGGAGGAGGGGCTTGAATTATCCCAGTGCACCCTGGAGCCCAAAGGAGAAATGGGAAGTTTTTTAAAGTGATAAGAAGAAGGCAGATATTATGGGTATGACAAACATTTGCAAGTGATGTGACTTTGTTAAAAGGTTACAACATCGGAAATCATAAAAGTAAAATAACGCACCTTGGAAGTTGTGTCCTTATGAAAAACAAACTCTCAAATTTCTCTTTATTAAGGTCCAACACATCAACCGTATCCAAATCACAAGCAAACCTCTAGCTAAAATCACTGTTTTGTGAAACAAAAACAATCAGGGAAAATCAGTGGAAATGGTTGCTTCATTTCCCACACTAACACCATAGGATATGGAGATATATATTTTCCTCCAAAATAAAAACGTAATGAAGCATGGAGAAATTTGCCTTAAGGCTCTTATTGAAATGGCACTTAGTTAAAATAAAAATTTCTCTAGTACAGATTTTAGACTTTAAACAATCGAGACTCTGGATTTGAAAGGCATTAGGAAATAAAGCTACTTTTCAGTGGACTGGGAGGCATCCCCCGAAGCAAGCTTGGCAGATGCATCCCTTGAATAATAGAGAGTGTGTATCAAATAATTCCAGGTTTTATGCTGTGCTTGGTGCCGCGTTGGCCATATAACAAGTGTTAAATAAAATAAGAGCAACATGTAACACGTAGAGCCTGATTCCTGCATTCTGACTGCTAAACCCACATACCAGATGGAAATGCACGCTAATCTAATGCAGAGGGTGTGTGAACCAGGCCGGAGGCAGTTCCAAGTCAGGCCAGCTGTCTTCCCCCCTGGCCCCTTGGTGGGAGAGCTGCAGGACTTCCCAGAACAGTTCTAAGGGCAGATCTGGAGCTTTTTGAGAGCTCACAGTGCTCATAGAAGGGTCCAGACAATCCACGAATGATGCTCATTTCCTACAACTCTGAGTGCAAAGTGACATCTAATCAGTTCCCTTTACCACCAGAAACCACTTTCTAATAAGCTTTATAACAAACAGGGATACCTCAGCTAGAACAAGTACAGTTGGTTGCTTATGAGACACTTCAAAGTACTAGTTCTTAAAAAAAACCATCTACCTTGAAGATAGAAGTAAGTCAATCACAAAAGGACAAGTATTGGATGATTCCATTATATGAGGTAGCCAGAGGAGTCAAAAGAGACAGAGTGGAATGGTAGTTGTCAGGTCCTAAAGGGAAGGGGAATGGGGAGTTATTGTTTAGTGTGTATATGGCGTTACAGTTGTGCAAGATGGAAAGAGTCTGTGGATGGTTGGTGATGACGGTAGCACAACAGCGTGAGTGGATTTAAGGTCCCTGAGTTAAACACTTAAAAATGGTTCAGATGGTAAATTCTGTGTTATTTGTATTCGGTTACAATCTTATTTAAAGTATAGAAATAAATAATGTAAAAATCTGACAAGCATTTATTTCTTCTGAGGGTCAATGAAAATCATGGAGATATTCCTCCTGTCACGAAGCCTTTTGAAGGCTGTCTTCCACAACCCTCTTGCCTGGTGGTTTTGGTTCCCCTGGAAAGCAAGTGAACTACTCAGGCAGAGTGAGGTTGGCCTCATCTTTGTGTCCTTGTAGCTTTGCACAGGCCCTTGAAACATGAAGTTCACAGCATCCCTGGGCTTCTTTTATCAAGACAACCCAAATGTTAAATGGACTCTTCACTTCTACCAAAAATCAATTAAAAAAAAAAAACACAGTTTAAAAACCACACTTCTAAAGCAGTTGAATTCTGTGGGAGGGGAAACGTATTTCTTTTTGAAATCTGAAGTTACATAAATCAAACTTCAAAGAACACCAGTACATTCTTTAATGCCACCTATGGTTTTTGAACCGAAAAGCTCAAACGTTTGGTGCTGTGACCTCGTGGCTCTCTGCATTTGTGGCCTGAGAAATCAAACTTCACGTTGGACCAACCTCTGTATGTGTCTGTTATTGACTCAGCAGAGAAGAGACTGATCAATAACCACCTAAAGGAAAATGCCAGTTTGATCCAAAAACGAAACTCATGTTTTCATGATCAAAGCAGATTTTTAGGGAGCCTCAGACCCTTTCAGTGATGATGTTGCTGAAGGGCGACACACATTTATCACTTGAAGTTCATATCATGTGTTTAAGAACAATAACATTCAGTATCTTTGTGGGTTTTTGACTCTTCAATAATAGAAGTCCTATGTTAAGCAGAAATATCATACTCTGTTAAACTTGAGCCAGGTCCTATGCTGGACCTGTTGTTCTTGTCAACCACAAACTGCCATCAAACACTTCCTGGGTGAAATATGTTTACAGTTCATAACTAGTTGACTGCATAGCTACTGAGTAAAAAATTGTCCACTGAAGCGGGTCTTACTGTAATTCCATTGTTCTTTCATCTTTATTGGCAATGTCTACAAAGCTCACTTGATATCTCTACACACAATGTTTTTCATTTTTAACCTCAGAATGGTTGCTGGGTATCCTCTGGGTTAGCATTTATATGTCTTATTGTCCATTCATTTACCTTTTTCTGCTCATCTACTTTTCAACAACAACAAAAAAAGCCCATTATAATGTTTCATCTAGAGATAAGAATACCAGAGAAGAAGAAGGAAAATTCTTGAATGATTTTGACTATCAGCAAGCATTCTCCTGGTCAACCTTTTAGGCCGGTTCTAAACTCCATTGCACTGTGTGGGAAAACAGAATCTCCGTTTTAACAGGTTAAAAATTACTGAAGAGTATGATAAATTGTCCAAACTTAACATATTTTAGAATCTTAGAGATGTTCTTTAGAGAGAATATCAGAGATCATCATGTTCAGTGACGCCCATTCTTGGCTGCACATGAAAACCAGCTAAGGCATTTAAAAAAAATACTGCAATCTGATTTAACTGGTCTATAGTGTCATCTTTAAAATTTTTTAAAGAAAAAAAATTTTAAATGTTTTTTTCAACTAATTGTAATGTGTAGCCAGGGTCAAGAAACTCTGACATGGATCAATGCCTTCCCCCCACATACAGAGAAAGAAAAGCTAAATTATTTGCTACAAGAGGCATGAAGATTGCTAGGAGAGAAGTAGGGATTTTAAAACTTTAAATCCAGTTTGTGAAACGTCTTGAAACTTCCTTCTTTTGTACTCAGTCTCCAAAGCATTCCTTAGTGCAAAAACAGAAGTAAACTATCAACTGGGTGATTTTCACTGGACCTAGAATGATTTTGAATTGAGTTGGAAGACAAAGTGAAAAGTTTATTTTAGTTTTCATTTCCAGATCTGAACATGATGAATCCGCAAGATAAAAGAGTTCTACCTCTTGTCAGGAATCTGCCAAAGGAAGATTAACAAGGTCTGTGTGTGCATGGTCATATTATACACTTCTAAAATTAAATGGACTAATCAGAGGCATGAAGTTTCAAGTACAGAAGTAAACAAAATAAAGCAATTGGAGTGGCCACAGTGAATCCTGGGCTTGGACTGATCCCAAAGATGATTCCACTCTGTTGTTAAGTGTCAAATAATGGAGATGTAAGAGAAGATGCCAGTGGCCAATAAATATGCAAAAAGACGCTCAGTCTCACCAGGGGTCAGGAAAATGGGAATGAATCTACGACAATTTGATTTATCTGATCAGCAAGAAGTAAAAAGTTGATTATCCAGGTTGGACAAAGATGTGAGGAATGCTCAGTGGGAATTGTGTCAGCTTCCAGACAGAAATCTGGACATCAGGAATGTGTAGGGTACAAAAGATTGCAGGAGGGGAAGTCACAGGGAAGACCTGCTGGTCTTCACCATCCCTGTTACTTTCCTTTAAGGTTGTTGAATCTGCATGTTTAGGTCTGTACATGGGCAGTTTTGGATCTGGTCCCTGAGAAGCTCAGCAGCATTGGGCTACTCTCGCTGCCTTTTGTCCCCTGTCCTATCCTCAGTCCCCACCTCAGCAGCAGATCTCAGTGTTCTCGAACTAAGAAAAGCCAGGCTCATCCATCCATCCACTCCATCTTGAATTCCTCATGGCCAGGGCAGTCAGTGAGTCCTTTACTCCATCACAACCTTCCACCGCTGGGCTGCCGGACATGTCTCTCGACCATTTACTGGGTGCTTGCTGGGGTCAGAATAGCTTTTCATTTTCTCAAATAGTCATTTTGCCCTCAATCGACCCCAGAAAGTAATTATTATCTCTAACTCTATTTTACAGATGAGGAAACAGAGTTTCAGAAAGATTAAGTGGTTTTCCTGAAGACACTCAGCTGGCAATTGGCAGTAACAGTCCTGATTTGCCTGCATTGGGAGTCGCATTTCTTTGTGAGAGAAGTTTTGGGAGTGAAAACATACTTTCCCACCAATTTTCTCTTCCAGGGAACATTGGATCTGAACAGATCCTGCAGAACAGGCTCCCGTGTGGGAGGCGAACCCATGACTCCTGTGTCGGAAAGGAGCCTGTATCCTGAGGCTCCTTTCATTCCTGAGGCATCTCGGCCTTCCCTGCCAGGGTCACTGCCAGCAGTCTGCACGCTGGTCCTTGTGCCATCTCAGCTGCAGATTCAGTTGAGGAAGGGGTTTCTGCTGCCAGTTCCACTACCTTCTGTGATCTGGTCTCTCTGCCCAGGCTGGTGTCAAACACTCTGCCCTGGCCCTCCCTAGTGCTCTAACTTTAACCCAGGGTACCTTTTGCTTCTTCTGGGAAGATAGGCAAAACATGAACAGTTCACCTTAATTTACCTTCTTGTATTCAAGACCATTTTCTTGGCTTCCCAAGTGGGTCTATGGGATAGAAGCAGCACATACTCTGCCTTGAGAGGAAGAAACTCTATTCTCCCCTTCTCCATGGCCCAGAGAGGGAACTAACAGAGAGCAGCCCTAAGGTCAGTCCCAGGAATTGTCCCTCCCTACAGGGAGCTATAAGGTTGTTAATTAATGTGTCCTGAGCTGCTCCATCCTGCCCTTCCCCCTTCAGCCCACCTGTTTCCCACCTTTTTGGCCATCCCATCTAGCATTCCTGGGCCTAGTCACATACACAGAAAGGAGAAAGATAGGGGAAGAGGACAGGAGAACAAAGGAAGCCGAGGACACATAAACAGGGCAGAACACCTCATTTTTGGGATACCAGGATACCAGCTATGGACCCCTTCTCCCTCCTGGGAGAAGTCTGTGTTATCCCTGCTTTATATGCTTGCCTTGGCATGTTTCTCTAATGTTCAAACTTCAACATTGAGTCTAAGACACTTACCACCTATTACTGTATTTCTATTTGACCCAATTTCAAAATGAAATGTCATCAAGCCAGAGACATCCAGATAGGTCTCTTAAATGCCCTGTTAATGGAACAGCATCCTAATGACAATCCCCCTGCTTCAGTATGTTATGGGTTATGTTAAAAATTACAGACTTTCAGATGCACAAGCTCTTGCTTTATGAACACTTTGTCTGAGCCTCTGTCAAATGAGTTCTGTAGCTTTCCTGATCAAGGTTTCCTGTGTCGGAGTGTGGGCACATCACTAACATGGTGGGAAAACAGTCTACAGTGACCTAGGGTGTGTGTTGGGGTGTACCTTCTCCAGCGAAAGTTCTTAGCATACAGGTCTGCGGGGGAAGGTGCCTTAGAGAGAAGGCTACAGCCTGGAGACAAGGGAGCAGGCCCACTAAGAATGTTTGGGTCCTCTTCCTACTCCTCCCCCTAACCTACCCTCCATTATTTGTATGAAAGGCAGAGACAGAAAAAAGGTTTGGAGGAAAAAGAAACCTGCTCTGATTGGATAGACTTTTTTGTTTGTTTTAAACTTTTGCTCGTGATAGGTGAGGAACTAAGCAGAGAAACAGGAATTGAGGTCAATGGGTGCCCTGTCGGGGAGGGGACCCCCTCCAAGATGGAGGAGGGGTTCTGATTTAGAGGAGGGTACCCAGAGACCCTGTGGACTCTGGCAGGTGGCTCTACATCTATCCATGCGGGATCAGAGATGGTGTTTGCTGATGCTTCTCAGGAATTCAACTTACCCTGAACATCTAAGAGGTAAGAGGAAGCCAGGGGCTGCCTAGAGGTCTGTACTTTCCTTCCCACTATGCAACTCACACCCTGGATAGAGTTATCTTCATCACAAAGATTACCTCACACTTAATGATTTAATGCTACAAACAGGAAAAAATAATGCAGTAAGGAGCAATGAGATAAATGCGTCTAACAAAACAATTTTGACTTTAAAAGGAGGAAAATGCAAACCACCGAAGACTTCTATTCAGCCATGAAATGATCTCTCTGGACTTTTGTGGCCTAGCAGAAAGAGCACTAGACTGAGAGTCCAAACACTTACCTTCTGGCAATAGATCCAATATTTATGGGCTGGTGACTCAGGGGGTTTCTTCACTGTTTTGTCTTGGTCATTCCTCTATAAAATGATAAAAGAATATTTAAGTTCTCCAGGTTTAATTTTCTGATATAATTTTTTTCAATTACAAATTCATACAACTTGTTAACTACATCATTATAATATTTTTCTCCCCTTAGGGACGATCTAGAAAGGATTTCTCTGTACTGATGGGGACTGAAGTAGCTGTGAGACTGTGTTTGTCACATTGAGCATCAATTCCTGTGTATGTTCTTTTGAAAGACTCCAGTGCTTTCAGTCACTCTTCAATCATTCACACTCTGTTCATTCTCCCCCAGTGATTTTTATTCTTCTATGAGCAGTGTCAAAGCTACTTCTTACTAGAACCTTTTTTAAAATGGCAAAATATGTTCCCCACCAAAAAAATCCAGCTAGGAATGACTATTTGGGGTCAAGCAATGACAGAATAAATTTTAAGACTCAGGAATGAGCAATAGTTTCCACCCCCTTTGCAATAATCATAGAGCTGCTCTAATTCATTGTGTTTTCCTTCTCATTCTCAGGTTCCCTTTATCTCAGGCCCTTGACCCCGAACTAATCTTCCTCTCATCAAGCCTCTCCCTACCAATTCTGCCTGCACGGTACTACGCTCTCCCTCTAGAATCCTTGTCCATCCTCTGTCATCTGTATTAATGGCAGGATAAAGTCCAAGAGCTTCATCCAGCCTTCCCACCCTCATCAACAGCCTTGGCCAATGTCACTCCCATAGGTAGCCTGTCTCAGTCTCACAGGTTTCCTATTCTAAGAACACCCCAGACCCTTCCCATTCTGCTCTTGAACTTACTGACTTGAAATATCTCCTGTTTAACAGCCAACCAAGTCTTAGTCTTCCTTCCAAACTCAGCTAAGACCCACTTTCCTCTATAGAGCTTTCTCTGAACTCCATCTTGAAGGTAGGCATCCCTACTATGTGCAGTTCCCTGACTGACTTGGCAAAAGAAATGACCAAGATAGACTCAGAGGCATTTCTTGATGGGGCCAGGATTTCCTCAATCTACTTTTGGCTGGCATGTGAGAGGTCCTGGGGGACCTCCTGAAATGGAGAAGCAGTGGGAGGGCTGAGGCAATGGGACCTGGCTTCTATGGCAGGAATTTGGATTGCACCAGTGGAAGCTGCTGTGGATGGCTTCCCCTTCCTTCTGGATCCCATCTACTGTCTTTCTTCTGCCTACAGGCCTCCACCCTCAAAAATACAAAATACCTTGTTAGAGTAACTAGCAAAAGTTTGGTAGAAATTTTCCAGCGCTTTGATTGAAGTTAATGGTCATTGGGTTTTTTTTTTTTTTTTGTGGTGCTGAGGATTAGAACCCAGGGCCTTATACATGCAAGGCTAACACTCTACCAACTGAACTATATCCCCAGCCCTAATCTGGTAGAAGTTAAATTCCTTATCACCCTAGAGACATGGCTACCTCTCTTCTTTCTCCAGAAACTAACAAAATTTACCCTTGATCCTTGTCCCAGTGAACATCCAAACACTCTGCAAGTGGGTATTGGACTAAGGCCTAAAACCTACAAGCACTCAGAAGATGACTGCCCACATGATGATGAGAACAGCACACGTAGCTAACATTCACTGATCTCCTACTATGTGGCAGCCACCATCGTAAGCACGTTCATTCACTCTTTTAATTCCCATTATCACTCCCATTATATAATGGAGAAAATCTGTAGTGTCAAAGGTGAGCTTCTTCCCCTCAAGTCCCACAGCTAGCAAGGGTCACAGCCCTGCCTCATAACTGCTGTTTTCATTTTGCTTCAATTTAGGGGAAAAGCTTTAGTGGAGGCAGTTAGAAACTTGCATGTTTGGGGGAGATAGGGTCTTCAACACTTTCCTGACTTTTTCTCTGAGAGCATCCTCTGGGACCTGAGGGCCTCTCACTACCTGAACTATGAAAATGGCACATGTTTAATTATTCATTTCCCATCGCCCTTAATGAGGGGATTAACTGCTGAGTGAAACAAAAGGGAAATAGTCTGACCTTCAGGCTGACAGGAAGTGATAATTAACTAAAACCTCAAGTCAGTTTAAATGGACAAATGAAAGGGTTTTACCGGTCTTGATGCAAATGAGTCATGGGGTCACTAATTGAAGTCACATAATGGAGCCATGACCAGGAGAAAATAAACATGGGCTAAAAATATGTTTTCTTAATGATGGGCACAGCACCCTGTGGGGGTGGGAGTCCATTTGATCTCAGATTCAGAAGAGCATCCTGAAGGTGGAGGCTACTATGAGGTGTGTTCATCACAGCTTCTAGACCAGCTGGTTGGTTTTTCATTACTCGGTTGATTGGTTTGACCAAAAGTTACTGTGGGAATGATTCATGGAACCGTTTTGCTGCTTGGCATGTAAACACAGCCTTCTAATCTAGACCTTTCGCTATGAAAATGGTCATAAATAGCTGCGAATTACTACTGTTGTGCAACTCCTGAGTTCATCGCGCTTCTGGCAGAGCAGATGGGAGCTGTGTTCCAGGCTTTGCTGCAGCGCCCATCTTTCCCGTAGCATTTAACAAGCTAGGTGCTACCCAGATGACAAGACGGCACCCTGGTCCCACTCTCTCCCGGGACAACACACTTTTCAAGAAGGCCATCAAATGCTGCAAGTCTCTACACACAGATACTGCATAACCTATAAATATATATCTGCTCAAAATATGGCAAAATGAGTCACTATTAATAACTCAGAGAGTCATGGGGATTCGGGCAGCCCAATTCTGCTGCCAAAAGTTCAGAATGTTTGCTCAGGGCTTTGATTTTTTTTTTTTTTTCCAACTCTGTTCTTGGTTTGCTTCAGTACATTTCCTATTTAGATACTTCACCAAGTATGTCAGACTTTATCTGTGACCTTACTAGGACATACCAGAGCATACAGAAGGGGAAAGCCTGTAAAGCTATTGGGGTTTTAAAAATCATGTTGGGCCAACAAACATTTTCCATTTCTCTTTCCCATAGCAACCATCGTCCATGCCATATATGCAGAATTGCTGGAGGAGAAAGTGAGGAAATCCTCTAACTTATTTATATGGATAATAACCTTCTATTATTAACTATTTCTAGAACATTTAGGATTTCTGAACAGAATACTTCTACACGTCATAGCTAAGCCTTGTGGCAACCCTGCAAAGTACATGTTACGCTCCTGTCACAAACCAAGGCTCAGCAGTTAGTTAGGTAATGGGCCTGACGCACAAAAGACTTTCAGGACTGAAAAGCAAACCCAAAATTCTTCAGCTTGAGCCACATGAAACTGACAGTAATCCATTATTTCTGACCCCAAAATGGCATCATCCTGGTTCAGCCTAATGCTGTAAAGCACCGACCCTGCAAGGACACCCAGACTCTCCTCCTGATGTCATGAAGCCTCTTTACAAACTGGCAACACCTTGATTGGAAGATTGTGTGACATAATCTGGGGTGGGGGTGGTGAGGGAATGGCTATGTAATCTATTATCCTTACACCCATTATTGTTATTATTATAGAAAAAGACATGATGTGAAACTGAACTAAAAAATGGCAAATCATGCCAGAAATCCTTTAGTATACATACATTTTTGATACATCCTATCAAATGCTCACATGTAAGCATACTCACCAGATTTTCCCAAGCACTGAAATGATTTTGAGTACTGAAAAGCTAATGATGCTGAAATGTTATTTTGATACACCATGAATTTTTTCTTTAATATTTTTAAAATTATAGATGGACATGATAGCTTTATTTTATTTTTATGTGGTGCTCCTTGACATCAAACCCAGTGTCTCACAGGTGCTAGGCAAGTGCTCTATCACTGAGCCACAACCCCAACCCCACACCATGTGTTTTAACAAGCAGGTAGCCTATGAATCTGCAACAGGGATGTATTCAAAGGATAACTTGAATTTACTTTCTTGATCACTGGGCTTTAGAGAGAAGCTACTATCTATGACAAATTATATCTCCAAGTTCTTCTCTTAGAAATAATACATAGTAAATTCAAATTTTGCCTTTAATTCATAGTTTTCTCCATCGATTTAGTTAAAATAGGAAAGATTCAATGGGCTAATGATGATTATGCATTGAAAATATAATGGCTACTGAATAGTGGATTGTTAAATGCATAACACTTAGGAAGATTTTGTTAAAAGTTTTGGGTCCGATGATGAACAATGAGAAACGGGTCAATAAATGAGTCTTAGAATGAGATATCAGGCACTCATTTTATTGAAGGGGATGATGAAGCACAAAAAAACCTAATGAGTGGCAGCCATTCACCTCATGGTGAGCCAAACACTGTCAGTGACTAGAGTTCAGCTCCTGTGACTTTTGGACAAGCGTTCCTTCCCATACCCTGACCCCCACCCCAAATCACAGTTTGGCTCCAAGTAATATTTTGTTCCTTACTGTTAATACTTCTTTTTCTTGAAAGTATCTGGTATAAATAATAAAAGATGAGCCCTAAAAATAACATATCATAATGAACATAACATATCATAATGATCTTAGATGACTCTAATTTGGGACAGAGTAAGCTTCTTCATATTCAAACAAAACAAACCTTACCTAAACAAGTGAAGACATAGGTGTGTCATCAGAATCCATAGTCATTGATCTTTCTCCAGTCGAGAAAAGACCTTTCCATCCTACCTTTCCAGAAAATACTTGCCTCCCATATAAAAGGTACTAGATCTGATATATTGGAAGATTGTGCCTGATTTAAATTTCCAAACCAACATTTTAAATAGGAATATGATTAAACACAGGTTCAGGATAGCTTTACTTCACTACTTGTGAACTAAACCAAATAAATGAAAGGAAGAAGTGCTTGAAATAGAAGGATTCCTAATACCTTTTCTAGTACAATGATAAATGCACCGAAGAGAAATGAAAACAAGGAATTGATTGACAGAAGGATGAATGATTCAGCTTGGTTCTACCTTCACAGTGACTCATTCTGCAAAATTGGAATGTTTAGCAAATAAATCATACTATTGTACCAGAAAAGACAAGAACATA